AACAGAAGGGCGAGCTATTTCTCTCGTTCGAGATTTTCCGCCTGTTTTTATTTGAATTCCGTCGTAACCTGGGGAGAGGAGGCGTTCGGCGGCGTATGGGCAAATTCTTACAAAAAAGTTGGCTGATCGAAAGAGTTGTTCTCCTGAACGTGATGGATCAGGAGTTAAATTGCTCCAGCGACTAACAATGGAGCGAGGTCGGTCGAAATGGCGCTATTTCGGAATCACTTAAGTCATGAAGTATGGACGCCGTCTCAGGAAACCTTCCACCTAGCAACCTCGTAGGCATATGAGAAAACATCAAACGTTTCCAAAAAAAATTGTCAGAAATTCCGGATCCAGTGCGGCAAGCTTGCAACGCTCGAGCTTAGGCCTGAACTGATTTTTTATACGATTTTTTTGCACGACAACTGACGTACAAGCTACACTAAGTGACAACAGTTTATCGTCAAAACTCTGGGTCCAAATTCGGTTGAAATTTTATTTCCGTATTTCGATTCGAAAAGGATACTGAGAACGTTCGCTCTTCTACATTTATGGTATGAATCATGAAAGCCTTTTTTCAAGTCGCATTGCAAATGAATACAAAACGAACCCGCTGTGATTTTTTTTTCTTATTATGTGTCGTTTTTCGCTTCACGAAATGAAAACTACCACACAGAATACGAAAAAAAACGTGGCTGACCCAGTTATTTAAAATAGCAAATAAATTGGACAAACCTGTAAACGGTAATTCTCCAATGTTGTCGCGCTTTCGCATAAAACATAACGCTCTCTTTATAAGAGCAAGTATTGATTGAAAAATTCGAAGTACTCTACCGCACAGCAGCGATGCAAAGCTCATCTGGAACGAAACATGAAAATAATGAAATAATTGAAACAAAGCTCTTTGGAAGTAATCGATGAAAAGCTCAGGAGGTAAAAACCGCAAAAGATCGATCTTGCTACAATATTTTGTCGATACTGGTGACCACACAAGGATTCGATCAGTAAAATTATCGGAGCGTATGATTCCGCAGAGAAATATATCAGACATATAATGTAAAAAAGAGATCCAACAAAGAAAAATGTTTTAAAATTCCAACATTTTCCCAGAAGATTAGAAGAAGCGAGAAAATGGCTTTACACTTGCACCAAAACTGTTTTTTATTTCATTTCACAGCAGAAACAATAACATGCAGAAGTGAAAACGGACGAAAAGGAACGATTATGAGATTATCATTTGAAGTTAATCAAAGCATCAATGGAGCACCCTTTATTGGCAATCGGGCGCGCCTGCCGTCTTTTCTCTGCTGTTGTCTAGACTCTCTCCCCGAAACAACATCCAACGACGGGTATGTGACAAGGCAACCATAATTTGCCGCGAAGGGTAGCATGGCCAGCAAGCATGCGGCCGCATGCGGCAATTCGAGGCGGCATATACGATTTTCTGATCTCAACGGTTTTTCTCTAACACAGTACCTGGACAGTAGAGACCATGAGTAACGTGATTAAATCGCGTGATAACGTGATAACGTGATAAATGAAATTAATGTTCGCCTTTTTTGTCTCTGGGACATCTTACTCGGACTGCTGCGCCCACCGTCGCGCGCTATTGAGCGGCGAATTGCGGCCGTTTTGATTTGACCACCCCCCCCCGTTGCCGAACCGAGGGAATCGCTGCTTGACTGGCACCCTCGTTCACCGCGTCCTCAGTACGAGCCCTTTCCTAATTACCTCCGAACCCTGTTTCTGTACCTCTTCTCAGTTATCAACTATGTCGTAACATCCACATCTTCATTTCCCATCTTTTTCCCTAGAAAAACCCGTCATCCTCGAGACAGGTACGCAACCAGAGACTCTGAACTTCTCTAATCCTTCTGTGAAGTCGAGAACTCCGGAATTCAGGTTCATCTTTAAAAAATACCCTGCACGTCATGGAAGAGGTCTCGTGAACAACAGTGTGGAACCCGATATGTCAAACCGTGCTCGTAAGGGGTACGAACAATACAATCGCGATTCGCCGCGTCGTCGCGCGCGGCGCCTTGAGCGGCGGTGCGCGGCAACTTCTCGATGTGCATTGGACTGTGGATTGGAGCAACGAAACGAACGTGAATTCAAACGGAGGCATGACCCCGTGCCGAAAGACATCGAATTCTCTCGCACCTCTCACGTCAAGATTCAGACGGCCGGCCACGGCAACTCATCTCTCGCGTTGCGGCGTCGCTCGCCATGCTCAGCGCGGCATATTACGATTGTCTTGTTGCGTAACCATAAGCCACTAAGTGTAGGACCGGAATTTTTCGAAAAACTACAGTACTTAGCTTCGTTGCAGGACCAGCTACCGTACTCTTGTGGCACATTGCGTGCCTCCTAAGCTGGCCTAAATTTACATGCGCTGGATTTTGGATTCAGAGCGAACGGATGGTATACATTTGTCAAAAAGACGATTATGATACGGATCAGGACAGTCTTTCTGCCTTTTTGTGGGGTTCATATCCATATGCCTACATTACCATATCGTTCCTGCTTGCTACACGGAAGGAAACTTTTGGAAGGGTTTAGATCAACTTGAGGAAAGGTACATTGATATTTTATCAAGCACGGGCTGACGAATGAAGGAAATAGCAATAGATGATATGTGCGAATGTTTTGCGGTTCCTGCTTTGATTTCTCGTGTTATAAAAGGTGATGGTACTATCGAACTATTCCTATCACAACAACGTTTTTTCGTCGAAACATTGTCTACAGATGTTATCCGATGTACTGATCACGAATATGACATTCATTCCTGGCGCTGGCGCCATTTAGCGCTATACACGTTGTTTTGTTTGTTTCAAACCTTTTCTTCCCGAAATCGATAAAAACCTGGTAACAGGGTTGCTTGATGCCCAGATCACCAGTATGGCATTTATTTCTCCATACCAGCGCCACAGCGTTCTGCTGAGGCTGAACTCTGGGAAAAGGAGTGATTCCCTTCAGGCCAGGCTCAGTCTTAGCAAAGCGCAGATGACCATAGTGTCCTACGTTAGCGCCGGCGCCAAGAATAAATGTCATATTCGTAATCAGGATGTCAAATAACCCTCCGTATACAAGTTTTCATCGATTTTGGTGATTTAGGGTGTTTTGGCGCCGGCGCCTGTGGCGCAGTTTCGGGCGAAGCGAATGCGATATTCGTGTTCAGGAGGTCGAAGTACCCCTGTAAGCAGATTTTCTGCTAAATCTGGCCCTGTAGAAAAAAGTTGGTAAAAAACCGGCGTGATTTCGGTATGTGGTAGGAATAGTTCAATATGCCAAGGTGATTTACCCACCCATTTCCTTTTAATTTTTTCAGGAGTTAATCTAGATGTCCATACTAAGCAACAGAACAGAAACAGCTCGACCCCATAGCGACCGAGTACGTATCCTAGCCTTAGGAATGTATCTTCACTGGATAAATCAGTCA